TGCCAGAGATCCGAGCAAGGACCAACAACTTGACAAACCACCACCGAAATGCTTCGCAACATTCCATAGAATCCTAACTTGCATTTAATTTTCTGCAACCTAAACCCTAAACTTTGATTCCCCATCATTAGGGATGCCTACCTCTATAATCCCCATGTAAAGTATCAGCCCCATAGAGAGCATTCTGGGGTGGCTCTGGCACCTTTATGTTCGTCTTTCTGCTGCTTTTAGCAGGGAAAGGTGTAAAGCATTGCTGGAAGTCCTTCTCAAGGATGATAGAATATGATAGAAGGGCTCATTCCCTAATTCCTAAAAAAACACCAAGAGCACAAAAAAAAGTATGCCGAGCAAGTATCAGTACATATCTGGAATTGGCATGTGAGCTTTATTGAAAACTCCTAGTATCCTCCTTAAAAAGCCCGAAAAAAGCTCCCTTATAACAATGCCCTATATAACCCTTTCTAAGGAGACTATAGCTCATTAAGGCAGGGTGGAGGCTGTGATGATTAGCGGGAAGTGCTTCTGAATCGCAGCAGCCAAGGCCCGCTCTCGAACAACGCTGCATCGAGAACCACCTGTAAGGGGGCTTCAGGCGGAATCTCAGGGAGGAGGGACCCTTGGAGCTCATGGGATGGTAGGAGGAGGACTACCTTTACATTGGGTTGTATCAGGTTATATGGGTTTTACCACTTTAGAATGGGTTGAATACTTTAAGTGAGAAAGTCCTTTGTGGCATCTTCTGCCGCCACACCTTGAGACATGTCAACTTCTTCCCTTATCGTAAGTCGTAGGTTGTCAAAACCATGGTCCGTTTTTGGGTACCCCAATATTCGGGGATGTATTTCTCTCAGGAGCCGAAAATATGGACCCTTTCTGCATGGTTTTGTTGTCAGTTCTTGTCAAGCGCGAGACCTTACGACGACAAAGTCGCCTTTGGGGATGGTTACTTCTTCCCACCATCCATTGCCAAGCGCAAAAAGAGGCCGGTAGAAGATATGAAATCTAAAACGCTTGCAGTGTGGCCCGTTTTGAAGCATGGACATCCACAACCCATTTTGAAAACAGCTTGTTGGCAGCAGGAAGTAATTCGAGACTCAAGAGCACCCTAAATGAGACGCTGCGCTCAGACAAACAAACCCCTAAGTGTTCAATTCTTCAGTGCCACCCTTGTAGTCCCTGAAGCCCTGAAACCCCCAACCCTGAAGCCTCAGGCCCTGAACCTCTACAGTACTAGGGATTCTATAGGGGATCATAGAGGGGCTACATAGGGGTTGTATGGGGGTTCTATAGGGATTCTATAGGGGTGATATGGGGGTTACATATCAAGGTTCAGGCATTTCTGAAGTTTCATCCTTTGGTCCCCAGGATTTTCACAGCTCATGCTCTGAAGCCTCAGGTGCTTGACATTTCCTGGCTTGCTGTTAAGGAACTTCATTTAAGCTACTATATCGTGGAACTCATATTAAATACTCTATATATACCTTAGGTGGACCCCCCACCCAGTAATAGTGACTATAAGGAATAATGGGTAATCATATTAGGGTCCTCTTATAGTCCTATTATACCACTATTACAGGGTGGGGGGGGTCCTCCTAATATATACCCATATTGTGGTTACTTAGTTTAAATTCCTTAACAGCAAGTCAGTTTATGGGCTTTAGGTTGCTCCAACCCTGTGCCTGAACCTTAGACCAACGAACACGGTTTAGGGGTTTCCCAAAATTAGGGGTACCGTTTTGGGGGTCCCCATAATAAGGACTATAGTATCTTGGGGTCTATCTTGGGGTCCCCTAATTTTGGGAAACTACCATTTAGGGTTTGGGGTTCAGGATTGAAGGTTTGAAGTACACTTACGACGGAAGCTAAGGGACTTACTACTCCTCAGCTAGGAACACCCTGAGTCTTGGAAGCAGATGGCCTGCAGTTGGGGTTCACGAAGGGCGGACACACGATGTCCTTGCTTTGCGTGCTATACAAGCTTTTTTTGGATTGGGTTGGTGTAGAACTTATGGCTTACGTGGTTTAGGTTCTAGGATGTGGGGCGATGCTTCAGGTTTGGCAAGCCATTGGAAGTCTGTGCGGTTCTGTACGGGGGACCACCCTAGTCTACAGGCACTACACATGCCCTGAGCAGTGGATACTGCTACCTCCCAAGCCCTAAATCCACAACCCTCAAAACACTCAACCCTAGACTTGGTGATTTTCACCCAAAGGGTCCCATTCTTTTCCCACACTCTTGGAGTTGTTTGAGTTGTTTGAAGCCTGTCTGTTTCTATCAAGATGCCTCATGAGACAGCAACGAAAATATTTTTGGGTGGCTACTCATCCCAATCCAATGTTTGATACTGGGTTGGCCCCTAAAACCCTTTGAAAAATATTAGTATATAGGGTCCCTTATTAAAGCCATTAGGGAAAATATTAAATGTCCCAGGGGCTACCCAGTTATGAAGCCCAAGCTGGTTTAGCCGCAGCGGCTTTGAAGCCAAAGTCGTGATTCTGCCTGTCCCATCTCCATCAGCCCGGCTCCAAATGCACTGTTGAATCCAGGGAAGTTCCCTCCTAGCCCATTTCATGTCCAGAGACCTGCGAACTTTTTAAAATCGGGTGTTTTGCCAAGAGGGATCCCTCTGCGAAGCTGTTGCTGATCCCCATAGACGTCCAAAAAGGAACCTCCTCTTGGAGAAGCCCCTAGACTAGGAATTGGAGCCCGCGCCGTGAGATTCATTCCACGCAACATTCCACTTCAGAGCTCCCCAACCATTTCAACACCCTATTCAGACCGTGTTAGCAGGACATTCGAGGAACAAAGGTCGAATCTCCAGCCTTCGCAATGAAACACACTTACCTGTGCTGAGCAGTCTTCCCGCATTCCCTAAAAACCTTACTGGTGCCTAAGGGAGAGTGCGGGAGTGGATCCTGAAGAATATTCCCGGTACAATCCCCATATATACCCTTATAATGGTTCGTTTATTCACTCCCCCACTCCCCCTTAAGCACCAGTATGTGACAACAGGTAAGAATACTGGGGCGCCGCGCTGTCGGTAAAGAAGGTGAGCAGCAAGGGAATGCGGAGGTATGGCCTAGGAGCCCACGTGGGGTATGTAGAAGCTTACCTCTACTTAGCAGGAAATGAAGGAAGGGAAGAACATGGAAACACGTATTTTGCATTTTGGGCCGGTTTATATACCGACTACTATAAGGATCGATTCCTTCATTCCTTGCTGACAGGGGTAAGGAAGAGCGTACGAAAAAGAGGTACGGAGAGATTATGTACGCGCTTGTTGGGCATCAATGTTTCAAGGGTCAAAATGTACGTGTCTTTTTCCGTCATCCGTGTCATGATGTGTGGTGTTCTTTTGGCGAGCTTTACAACTTTACCCGGGCTCCGCCAAAGGGTCCATCTATCCTGCTGGAAGCAAAGGGGCTGTCTGACTGGGTTTCCATGTTAGTTTGGGGAAGGTGCCTAAACTTCACCTCCAGACGTTCTACATCCCTACATATTCGTGCCTAAGTATTCCGAACACAATCTTACCATCACAAAAGGGACCCCCTAAATTTGGAAACCTCGATGTTGAGACATTAAGGAGAACCAGGACTACAGTTAAAACACGTCAGAGGGGACCTTAGTGGGGTAGTATGGTGGGGGCGTATAGAAGCCTACACCCTGAAAAGGGAAACGGGAATCTTGCAAGTCATTTGGCAGGGCTGCCGGTAGACCTTGCCCGCAGCCTTTCGAGAACCACACTCTGTGTTTACCGTTGAACTATACGAACCAATGTGGTAGTTTCCGAAAATAGAAGGACACGAATATAGACCCCAAAATGCTATAATCCTTATTATTGGGACCCCAAAATGGTACCCCCCCCTAATTTTGGGAAACCCCCATATTTTGTGGTGAAAAAAAGGCCCACTATACATGCCCATCTTCAAAGCAGCAAACACAAAGTCCATGCCATCCGACAACATTGCTGCCACTGTAACACATCCCTGGCCCGAGGCCAGCCGCAACATCTAAACGCCCAGGCGCCAAAAGTCACAAACCCTTCCCGAAAATCCTGCAGCTCCTGAACTTCTTCGTCCGTATTTCACCACAAGAGAGGAATCCATGCCCCCAAAGTTGAAATGATCCCTGGTCCTGCTCCTTCAACCCCATAAGCCCTAGACCCCTAACCCAGCAAAGCTCCCAGCGCCGTGAGGTACGTAAGCAGCAGCTCACTGTCCCTGGGACCCAAGGCCTGGGCAACACGCTTCGAGGTTTAGGGGTTGAAAGGCTTGGGGGTGAAGGGGTTAATCAATTTCAGACTTTAGCAGCTGTTTGCCAGCAAGGCCATCGGAGTCTGTACTGAAAGGCTGCGATGGCCGAGGCTGGTTGTGCGGGGATCCACATGAGGCTCAATGAGCATACTGAGACGTTCCAAGTCTCTGTTGGGCTTCCATGTCAGTATGCAAGATGGTAAAGGCGATGGTGAAGCTAGCAACTAGTAAGTGCCGAACGCGAGCAAGGAAGGAATGGAAAAGGAAAAGGACGCTGCTGCCCTATTTGGGGTTCAGGGTGCGATGCAATGCAAGACAGCGCGGCGCGCCTTCTGGTGAGGCAGCACCTGACCCTACCAGGACCGTAGATGTCCTATCTTCTCCGCAAGATGCCGATAAACTACTCATGAGCATCTAGGACTGAATCCTAGGAACGAAGGGCATGGAGGGCCCATGTACACCTTAAATGGCTGAGAAGCAAATGGCAACCTGACTGGACTTTCAAGCTCAACCCTGTGCGACTGCTACCACGAATGGATCCTGGTCCGTAGTCTTTCCAAAATGAGCCATAATCTAAACTCCTTGCAAGGGGGTTATATAGGGGACAATTATAGGTGCTAGTAAGGGGAATACTAGGAGTTTAGACGATAGCTCATATAGACCCTAATACTCGTTTCCATTTTCTTCACCATTCCTCCACTCCGTAACTAGAGGCAAGAAAAGCCCTGTTTTGGCGCGCTTTTTCCTCAGCTGCCAAGAAAAACCTGCGCCGGTCCGAGAAGCCACTGGCACACCTGAGCAACTCTCTTGCTCCAGCGAATTTAGGGCTTGGGGTTCATGGCTTGGGAATATTTAGAGTTTGGGGCTTAGGGATATTTAGGGTTTAGGGTTTAGGTCTAAGGTTGAGCAAATGAGGGGTCAGGTTTCAGGCTTCTGGGGTTGAAGGTTTCAGGGCTTTTGCCAACAATCCGGCACGACTGACAAGAGCTCCAGCTGGCCTCCGAAAAGCCAATTTCGAAAAACCTGAGGCTCCAAACGCAGTTACTCTCAAAGACTTCCAGGAAAGCCTGAAAAGATTTAGGGCATAATTTCAATTCAGGGCTTATTATACGCTGGCACCGTAAGGTTTAGGGTGCGCTCCTGAAGAAATTGATTCTTCAAGGCCCACTTCCGTAGCGTACCTCCGATGGGGGGGTTTCTACAAGGTGCATGAAGGGGCCAGATAACCTTATAGTCCCCCTTAGGTAGATAGAATATGGGGTATATGAGGGTCTTATTATAATATACCCAAAGCCATATTCTATCTACCAGTTTTACCACGTTATAAATCCTTAGATGAACCGGGAAACTGAGGGTTGGATTTAGGGTTTTAAGCAGCGGTGCCCTGAGCTTTTGGTAGCAAGGGCACGGGGTCATAGCCGCTCTCGCACGAAACCTGCTCCCCAACAGCTCTCAAACCCCAACCCTTGCAGCTCCCCAACCCCAACCGCGTCAAGCCAGAAGCGGCCTAACTGCTACACAAGAAACCACGTATGGAAAGAGCTCTTTATACAAAGTGCAAAGACGTAATGATGTAAACGTTGCAAGAGATCCTAAGACCACATCTCTCGATAACGCTCTCCATCCTAAACCTTGCAGCCGGAATCTCAGGAAGCCAGACCCCAAACCTTCTTATAGGGTAGGTTTGGATACCCGTTTCACAAAAGCATATTATGGGCTTGGTACGGGCCATACATATATATATATAAAAGGATTTGCCAACCTAACCCTGTACAAAGAACATTTTTTAGCAGACTGAATTGTCTCAAGATGCTGCCGTAGCTGTCGCACGTTCCGCCGAAGGTCTCTTGTCTGGATGCCACCTGTGTAGTCAAGGGCTTGCATACCTCGATTTTCGATGACATATAGTCCCCCTTAAGTAGATAGAATATGGCTCTGGGTATATTATAATCAGATCCCCATATACCCTATATTCTATCTACTTAAGGGGGACTATAAGGTGATTCCAGGGGAGGTAGGTGTGAGGTTTAAGGTTTAGGCGCCCTTGGAAATCGGCCTGAGATTTTGCTGGCTATGCCTGGACCTCAAGAGTAGGTAAACCGATGGCCAAGAACCCAAAAATCTACCAAAAAGATCATTGTTCTGCGTAGTTTTGGGGTTCAGACCGTGAAGATAGAACATGCGCAATTTGACCTAGTTATTGCCCGCAGAGATTGTACTACATAATGGCATCGGACACCACATTGCGCTCGAAGTCGCTCCAGCATAAACTGCTTGAACACACGCGTTCGAGCTTCGATGGAATGAAACCTGCAGGCCGTTACATACCCGGGGGCTCTACGTCCAAGTCTATGAATAATACCTACATTGAGCCCTAAAGTCTATAAACGCTTGTTACATGGAGTCTTAGGGATAGTGTGGATAGGTATATTACGAAAGCATCCCTCCTCTTGTCAGGTTTGGGGCTACAAGGTTTCCTCTTGGCGAAGTATAGGGAAAACAAAAGGAGTTATGTAAGAGCTACGAACGTTCAAGAGGCAGATGTTTCTATCACAGTAGCTATGAGAAACCATAGGATATAAGTTGGTTGTGCCATGGATGCTGTTCCACCTACGCTAGAGAGGATCTAAATGGGCCCTCAAGAAGGAAGCCTAAAAAAGGGAAGATGGTGACCCCTGTGTTTCTTAGAGCTTCGGGTATATATGACAGCCCGACTGGAAAATAACACCGTTGCCATCTTGGTAGTCGGACTTCTACAAGGGTGCCTCAGTTCCAGCTACCTACACCTCATGCTAGAATGGTGCAAGCCGTAAGTTTCAGAGACATACCTGCGCAGCTATGCTATAAATCGTCATCTCAAAATCACGGAGTGCAAGGGCCTGCAAAGCAAGGAGCACCAACCTTGCCCCATTAGAGCTTGAGGAGCGAAATGGGTCTGCTCTTCCGGATCTTAGGGACATGGCACCCATACGATCTAAACGCGTTACTACATGTGTACGCATACTTGCGCGTACGTCTCTGCACAGATCTGGCATTTCAGGACCCATTATGGTTTTGAGACGCTCCCAACCTAATCCAAAGCCCGTAGCACCCGGATTAGGCAGGCACATTTGGAAGCTTCTTGCAACCAACCCCTGAAGTCTAAGCATTCCAGGATCCCGAAGCCCTAAACCCTCACAACCCCAACCGCTAGGCCCTTAACCTTGCCTCTGCTCTTGCATGGCGGTGACCAATCCCTTGGTGGCCGCAGCAACGGCAGGAGGTTGTGCTAGAGGAGCTGGAACCTGACACAACAAATTCTGCCACCCGCTCTCACTTACCTGGCTATCGCTTTCTCACTGCGCAGCGGGATGTAGCAAAGCAAATTGCCCGTTGCAAGCAGTGATCAATGAACTTACTTGCTCAGAAGGGAAGGGAACGGATCCCTTGGGTCCTGCCGCCACCCATGAACGGTCTGTTATAGCAGTCATATGAATTTGTCCATATCAACATGATACAAATATTCTCAGGTGTTAATGAATGGGGGCAATACCCAATGGATCCCTGTAGTAGCCCCTTACTGAAAGAAAGATTTTTTTGTAGTTTCCTATCTCGTTTCCATTCCTTTATTTTGGCCCTTCACCCAAATTCCTGCACCCTACATATTCCCTTCCATGTTCTTTTGCATTCCTTCGCTTTTCATTCCAAATGGTCGACACTGACATACCTGCATGACCCTGAGTAGCTTAAACCGTGGGAGGTATGGTACTACAGTATATACGAAGGTCATGCAGGTTGTTTAAGAAGCGCCAGTAACAAAAATGTTAAAGACCTGCAGCGTCAGACTTCAAGCAGCACTTCGCTAATGTAGCAGCGAAGTGCTCATAGGGCCTGTGGAGATTAGAGTATAGGCGCTATTTAGCAACTATCCAGATATTAGATAGGGATTGGGAACAATACCCCATCATGGAGAATCAACGCGAGATGGACAATTCAATGGCAAAGAGGCTTTATGTAGGGGTTGTAAGGGTTTCGTCCCTGGGGCCTGAATAGTACACAATTTGGACCCAAAATGCTTCCACTTCTATAAATGCATTCGCCGTGCATCCTGTGTGGGCACTTGGATGCTTAGGGCAAGGGAGGCTCGAAAGAGAACCCCGCCTGAGTCTGAATGATAGACAGATGCGTTGGCCAATCGCAAACCCCACACCTAAACCCTGGCAAGTGACGACATACAGTTAAATCAGGTACCGCACGGGCTGCACCGTTTTTCCTCCGCTCTTATTGTTGAGCATGCCCAAACTCCTAATCATACCCTATTCAACCTACCGACCGTAGGGGCCGAAATCGTTTTCATAAGCCTTGGGGCCCACTGTACACTCCAAGCATATGAGGAGTAAATATATTGGAACAATGGTGTTCATTCTTGAGGCCTCTATGTTACAAACTAGCTGACTGGCCATCCGACTACTTGGCTAACGTCAGTCCAGTACCCGAGGACCTCAGCGCCGTTCCTAAAGCCAAAAACGGCCCATGATTTCTGCGACCCTTGGGGGCCACTGTAAATGCTGTGAATTTTAAGATGTAGATAGATAGATGGATGGATAGGCTAAATGGGCAGCGCGATAGGTAGAGAAAGATTGACCAACCTTGATGCATGCTATACCAACCCAGGAACCCTTCCCCCCAAAAAAGTAACTTCATATTGGGGCTCTGCAGAAAGCCGAAGCTGTACACTAATTTCAAGACATACCTGGCCATAAGGGTTGTGACTCTGATTACCACTTCATCAGCTATACCCAGCCTCGGCTGCAGCCGCTGTCCCCTCCTCTGCTTCCTCCTAGGCAGGGTTTAGCGTTGTGGATTTAGGATGCGCGTGATAGGGTTGAGGGGTCTAGGTGATGAGTGTTTAGGGATAATTACATTCGCCAGACTGACGACATATTCTGAAAGGGCATCAAAACCATAACTGGCTGTCACGGAGCCTGAATGGAGTTCTGTCAACCATACCGCATTGTGCAAGGCTGAAGGTGTCCAGCGATAAGGGGGGGGATGAAGTTGTTGTTGCTACAACAAATTCTACAACATTTGAATTCATGGCATTGGCAGTTCTTGAGAGCAACATGCGTTCTCTCCGCTTCTTCTCTCTTCTTTGGCTCTCTCTGTCTGTCTCCTCTTCTCCCAGGCTCGAGGGAGCTCTGCAGACCCCACGAGACAACACGCCGAATTTAGCACGCGGGCGCCACTCCAGCTTCAGGTCAAGAAACTGAGGAGTACTGACATGAGAGAAGTGTAAGATCCAAAGCTCTACCAATGCAAACGTGGTGCAGTCAAAGTCTTCGCCCTGCCCTACAGATCTGCGAAGAGTCTGTGCTGCTGTTCTCAGGAAAGGCGCTCCCTCAACAAAGGCTACAGAACCCCCACAGCAAGTAAACCTCCCCTGAACAGGGAAGAGACCACCTCAAGGAACATGCCATCCTGACCCGCGTTCTTTGAAGATACCAGGGGGTAAGTGTGCACAGCCCTCAGCACGGTCCCCAACCAGCTCGTCCGCCACAACCCCGCGCTGCCGGCACGGTTGCGACTACCAGCTGGCTCTGCGCACTTGTTCTGGCTGGAATGGCCATTAGAGGATCTCTCTCTTGCTCTCTCTCTTTCTCTTTCTCTCTTTCACAAGATTGACAGCCCCCTCAGCGCATCATACACCTTGCCCAGTTAGTGGCAGAATTAGCTTGCAAAGGGGCGTACTTCATCTCAAGTATTTTAAACAAGCGCATCGGAGCTAGTCCCGGCCAAAAAAGGGCCTAGACCCAGGACCTTGAAATCAAGTTTAGGGTTCAGGGGTCAGCCGCGAGTCCTGAACCACAAAAGAACCTCAGCTCTAAAGCAGAATTGGTGCCAAGGTACCTTTGGATTTCGTGGCCATGGAGGTTCCGGACACTGCGCCTCAGGCAAAACAATTCTGAGACAGGTTGTCTTAAGGTCAATAAAAGCTTTGGGCTGTTCTAGAACTTCGGACTTGGGATTTGAGATCCAGGCTCGGAACTTGGGATTCAAGCAAGCAGCGACTCAGCTTGAGATTTAGGCCGAAGGACGATGCATGCGGATCCGGGGTGTGGGATTTGCGTCTCAAGGCTCATGTTTTCGGGTTGTACCACCATGCACTGCGCTACTGCGGCATCATATTTCGCAGTATGCCCTCAGAAGCGCCGTTGGTTGAATAGAATGGGATCTTAGGTTCGATCTCAAGCAAATTTATGTTCAGCATGTTGCAGGGTTCGGCTTTCGTGGGGAGGTCCCTTGTAAACCAGTCTCTTGAGCAGCCTATGGCAAGTCGTGTGCTTGGTCGGGTGTCAAGGGTGTAAGGGATCAGGAATGCTAGGGGATCCGACTCTTATGCTTTATGGCATGGTACGTTTTCAGCAACGATGGCACAAATTCGCAGGATAGGGTATGCCGTGTCCACTTAGCAACTCGCCCGAGTCCTACCGCCTATATCAAATATATGCGGCTTGATCCAGAGGACCTTTGGGAAAATCATTCAGGGTTCTTGTAGGTCTATAAGGAACATGTAATGGAGACTCCTTTCTATAATGGCCAATTCCGGTGATCAACTATCATATCTTCCAACAGGAATCTACAAGTGGTCAAACAGCCTGGAACGTGAAAAGAAAGCTCTTGCCAGAAAAAAAAATCCAGAGGAGAGGAAGGGAAGAGTCATAGCTCAGAGAGACCGACAACCTGCGAACACGTTTCTCATGCAGAACATTCAACATGATGGGGTAGGGGTCGGATGTTTTTTGGTAGCGGGAAAGGATAAATCATGTGAGGCGACGTCAAAGTTACTTTTCTGGCCTCTCTTGGTTTTTTGACTTATCAATCTCAAGTTCTCGGGAACCTTCTCACATCCCTAGCCTAAAACAATTCAGTTCATATTTTCAGGACGTCCCCTATCCATCTTGAGATTTTTGCGCAACAACTACTGCCTTTTGACCGCGACTCATGTGACGACTTTAGTTTTTAGTCAGACCTCTTCAGTCGCATCTCTTACTCGCAGGCCGCGGAAGGGTTCCACAGTTCACAAACCCTGTACTTAGCAAGACTCCCTGAGTCCTTAAGGCCTTGGGCTGGCATGCCCAAGCAGCAAACAACATGCGCTTTGTGGTTGGACTCTGGGGACTTGGGAGAAAGGCCACTTGCGATTTCGGCACAGCTGGAAGGGCGCCAGCATCTTCCAGGCGCTTTAGCAGCACGCTTTTCACCTCCAAAACGTGGAAAAAGGCTAATACAGCACTCTGTGATGTTCCGTCATTAGTGAGGCCACGTGACTTGTGGAGCGAGTAGGGACTACTCAGAGACCCATGTGCTCCCACCCGGGCCATGTGACACATCCCCACTTAACATCTGAGTCTATGCACTTACTTTGAAGTACCGCCAAGCGCGAGAGTTAAGGGGAAGGTCCTCGTGAAGTGCAGAAGTCTGGGACAGTGCCTCCAGCAGCACAAGTGCAGACGTGCCAGGCTAGGAAGAGATGTTTGCAGCAAGTGGATGCGCCAGGGTTCAAGACCAGGCCGGGGGACATGAGGATCACCCAGGTTCTACAATACACGAGGTGCGTTGGGACTGTGGAGTTTTAAGCCTGTAGTTGGTGACACGTTGGCAAACACAGGTAGCATGGGCGCAGCAACCCCTGGAAATCCTGCAAGTGGCAAAGATCTGGACGCACCGCAAACTTATCAGGGTGATCAGGCTACTGCTTATGTGGGCAGCCGGGATGTCTAGTCTAGTGCTTCAAACCAAGCTCCAAACACCCTCTGCCTTCCATGGAATCTAAACGGCTATTAGGAAAACACGAAGCATAGTTCAAATTTGTCTGATACACTCGACTGAGCCATGCGTAGTCTCACACGCGCTAAACACTCGACATGAAGCTTTTTACCAAAGATTTTCTGAGTTCAGTTGTCTCAACTAGGGTCGCCTTACAAGCGCTTGAAACAGCAAGGCCCTGCTTTAGGACCTTTTCAAAAGAAAGGTCCCATAACTTTCTTTTCTTCGAGCCCTGGAAAAAGACCGACATACCCATCCAGTAGCTGGATTCCACACAACCTGGCGCGCAATGTCCAAAACGGTGAAATGCCTAAGTTGCCCAGGGCTCTTTGTTTCTTTGCAAGATGCTGAGATAGGCAAGCTTTCACCACGGGTCCCCTAAATCCTAAACCCCGGAATTCCTAAACCCCAAACCCTCGTGAGCTTTTTTTCGAAGGATGTAGGGCGCTTAGCTGGGTGCAGTATCTCCTCCGAAGGCGCACCCACTGTAGTACCTTTGCATAGTTGCGTACTAAAATAATGTTTCCCAATGAGGGGACCTGTATTAAAGTGAATTTCGGGAAGCCACGTATGGAGAGTAAGGGGAGTTCTTACTCGGGGGATTAGTCTACAGGATTCTCGGGCTACTATAAACTGAAAAGAGGGTTGCGGTTCAATTAGCCCTATCAGGATTGAGGGGAAGAGGGGAAATGCTTCGTCATTATTAGTCACCTCACACTGATACTGATACTTTTAGTTTCCTGGAACCTTATATAGAAATCATACTTTCAGCTGGTTCCTGAGGTTATAAACAGCAGAATGACAACAGAAAATGTTCAGGGAAACTCCGGGATATTCAGCACCCCCACACCGCACATCTCATGTTTGCGTATAGCTGCTCGAACAAATCCCCATCTAGTCTCATGTCTCAGCGAGCTTCCCAACTCTAATGCGGCGAGATGCAATCGTAGCAGAACAGCTAGTCGCTAGCAATAAAGACCATAATCGAGTTCACTACAGCTCTGGCCCTTCCAAACCCAAATGTTAGCTACAGTCTAAATAAACTCCTAGTATCTTCCTTAAAAGGCACAAAAATACTGCCCTATTCCGCTATATAACCCTCCTTTAAGGAGTGTAAACCCTAAACCCGAAACCCCATATAATCCCCTACATAAGCCCCCTTTAAGGAGTGTAGACTATAGCTCATATGAGGAGCAGCTGCATCGGGTTTGGCGTGCCTACAGCGCTTGGAGGTTTGCAGATCTGTTAGAGCAGGCAGCCCCTAAGGATCCAGAGATATACAAGGCTTACGAGGGGAGTTTGGGGTCTTTGCTAAGGATTCAAAAGGGGCACTGTTGACAAAGTTGCATTTAAGGTTCGGTTGAGTTAAATCTTTTTTGGATAGATAGCTTGGCATTTCCAGTGGTATCCGTTTGGTTGAATGATGCAGGATATCCAGCATTGCATAATTTTCACAGCGCTACAACTCCTAGGCGTGACCCAATGGATAGGAATCTGACATGTGCCCACGTAGTCGCACCTTGGTACCTGCTGTGATCCATCCCATGCACCCAACAGGACATGCCCAGTTGCAGGCTGGTACCTGACATCGTGCCGAAACCGGACATGTCAACGGCGTGACTGATGTAGCAGCTCAGGAACGATCCGCTTGCCCCAGTAATGGACCAACAAACCCCTAATCACAACTACCCACCACAATATAGTGTCCCAAAGCCTGACGAGCCCCATTAGGCAGCTCCCACCCCGACCTCCTAACTATTTGCGCGTACTAGCCAAAATGTCTGTAACTTTAGCAGATGAAAGGCTGTTGTTGTAATTGTTTGGGAGCTCTGAAACATGTCTGGCTTCCAGCAAATCGAATCAAGGTGCTTGTACGGACCAAACTCATGAAGGCCACAACACACCACGTTCCTTGGGTGGGCAGCGCAGCATTCGTCACGAAGCTGACATGGTACCCAAAGAAAGTGTCCTTCTGAACAGGGATTGATCGGGCTGCAAGCTAGTTGGGGAAGAGTGAGCGCAGTTCTTCCTACTGCTCATCTGAAGTCATGCTTCAGCTTTGGTTGATGACTCTTAGCATCTGCTATCGTAACCTCCTCTCGATGATGGGTATTATGTGTCACTGTTATAGGGGGCAACATTTATACAGGGGCCTAAACGATTACCCAAATCCTTGAAGCTTATTTGAGGCAGCCGAAACCATAACCATACAAGAATCTAGCGCCTTTACACCGGTAATTCTTTCAGCCCCTACCCTATAATGGGCCAAGTACCCAATAATCACATACTTTCCCAAGCCCCGTGCTACAATCACTACTGCCAAAATCCCAAGTACCCTAAATCATGAAACCCTAAACCCTACATACCCCTATATATCCCTTTGAGATGATGAGGTACTTGGCCTCTGGGTTATTCCCCTGCTTCCCTATTCAAGCCTTCAGCACTCCTGCGAGGCAGGGCGCAACTGTGTCGCACTGTGCTGCAGCAGCAACTCACAGATCTCACCATGCCTCGATGAGTACATTGAACATAGTGGTCCCCCCTATATACAAGGCTTTTAGGGTTTATGGCCTCCAAAGGTTGAGATCTAGATTTGAAGGTTCTTAAACCGGGTTTCAACGCACACGCTCAGTCTGCAGGGCATTTGAAGGAATTGGCCACTAGGACGCCTAGCAGTACTTGAGCTTGAGACATGCCAGTGGCCACAAGGGTATGTGGCTCATTTCTGAGGAATGGTTTTGTGATCCTGGACACCCCCGATAGCTCCTGGTCACCCCCGATAGCATATTGAAAAGCCGTAGATAACCCGCATCAGCATAGCCGAAGCACCAAATCAATAAACCCAAGCAAGAGCAAACTTTCATTTATCACTGAAAAAGGCCCTCTGCAAGCCCTAGCCCCCGCTTTTGCTTCAGCGGGATGTCTCGAAACAGCGGTACGCCGAAGAAGCCCTGAGACATGAAGGGATGCCACTTCTCAGGTACAGGCTCCTGATCGTGTTCTCGAATAAATGGCGTCCATGAGTCAAATCCCAGGAAGATAATACGATCCGTGCAGAGATTGCCAGCTGTCACCAGCTTGAGCAAAATAAATAGCTCCTTGACACCAGCCAGTCTAAGCTCCCCCCAAACTAACATGGAACCTCAAGAAGGCTCCATGAAGTTTGCTGTCCTTTGAAATGGACTGCTTTGTTAATTTCCATGTTAGCTTCGGGGAGGGTATTGAGCAATTGCTGCTTTTGCCCAGGCGCTTTTCCATGCAGGCTGCAATCCTAGGCAAGATTTTCCGGCTGTCACAGGCAGATCTTTGGGGTGAGGGCCTAGGTCTTTGGGTGTGGGTTTTGGCTTTAGGGCGTACACAAGTTCTGCGCAAGGAGAAGGGAGGGCACTCAACAAAAGTGAATACACTCAAACCTCAATCCTAAGCCCTAAGCCCAAGGATCAGCGGCGTGTACTCCTCCCAGCTTATCGCGCAGGAGCAGCAACCGTCACCTGAGGTGCAAGATAGAGATGTCGCACAATGTGGGCCTCCTGGGGATGACTGTGGGAGTTCCACTCAAGGATCGTGTAGGGGCCATGTAGCATCATGTAGGTGAAAGGTTTGGGGCCAGGATTTTCGGGATGCTATGACAGAATCATATGAGGGTAACAGCTGTTGGGGCTCCATGCTGATGAGGACTGTAGAATACCATTTTGGAAGGAGCCATAACTCTCATCCCACCCTGGCACAGGGGGAGGGGGCTCATCACGTCCAGTGCTGGCTGACCCCTTTTGTGTGACCTGAAAACCCTAAGCCTGGGAAATCTCATCTCCTTTTATATACGTAAATATAATTTTCACACAGCACACCCGAAGGTGAAAAGAAGGCTGCAGGTCAGACTCCGGAAGCTTTGCGTGAGTACGCTGCGAGATTGAAGCAAGTTGCTGAGATGGAAGAGACCAAAGGCGCAGTACGATTATGCTCGGCACTACACTGCGCAGCAAGAACCACACCACATGTAGTAGGATCACTATGTATTACCGTGACTCCTAGTGTTATGATTCGAGTTCCTATTCTTACGAGCGGCATTACTACTACTACGACAAGTACTACGACTGTCAATTCTATAAGCCACTTAGGTTACGTCCTCCTATAAGTGGCATCCCAATGATGGAATTTGATTGCCTCGCCGGAATGTGTACGATCCGAGGGTGCCGGGGCTCTCAAAACACCAACAATCACCAACATCACAATGACGGGAGGTACTGACTTTAATTGCTCATGTATGCCGGGGCGGACAACCGCATTTGGGGTTCCGCGACCTAAATAGGGATCCAAAGAAATCCTAGTTACCTATACACACACCCGACAATGTCCGTATTTCGAAGACTGCCCCAAAATGTCAGAATTTTGGAAACCAACAATGCATCCAGGATACTTCCTTTTAAGCGTTCCTCCCGCAACCAGATGCTGTTGGGATCTGTCCCATCCTGCTTACAGGTGTGTCGTGAACACGGGCCCTTAAGAGCCCTGGAGACATACAGGGATTATGGTGTTAAGGCCCTTTTGGACGACCATCGTGGCATACATCTCATACAAGTGAGACCCAGCTGCTTTTTGAACTGAGTTTGGAGAGTCATGGGTAGCTAGTGACATGGTCCTGGTTGCCTTTGATTATGGGCTTCATGCTCAAATGCCCTCCAAGTTGAAAAAGCCATGGATATGGGGTGCAGTCCGCAGGTCCAGAAGAATCGTCCCTTGCAGAATTTCAAGAACTGTGTAGGTCCAGGTAGCTTGGGGGCAGGCTACAAATCCCTACCACGAAGCAATCAAGCTCTTGCGGAACATCTAGAGCGCGCGCGCGCGCACTGTGTCGAGATGGAGCCGACGGATAATGCGGAGGATTCTTTAGGTTTGGCCGTGGAAGCGCTGAGCCGGAGACGGAGCGCTGCAACGTCCTGCCGACGCGGTTCTAGACGCGAACAGCCGCGGCTACAGCATTTGCGGGCATTGTACAGCTGTGTGCGGCTATGCCCCCCGAGGGTAGGTCGTAACCACGTATGCATAAAACTAATCACGAGAGAGTCTGTATAAAGTACATCGAGCATGCCTGCAAGCGGGGTCTGTCACCGCCCTTGATCTTCACCCCTAAGCCGTAAACCTTAACACCAGGAAATCTGCCAGGTTTACAAGCTCGCTGAGGGTTGAAAGTTTAGCGGGTTAGGGTTTAGAGTTTCAAGCTTTCATTGGGTGCTGAATTTGCTTTCTTGATGGCTTCATTCCCAACAATGCCAGCTTCCCTTCGCCCCCCAAAAACTCCTGACCATAAAACCTACACCTGAACCCTATAAACTTTAAACCATGTGGACTCCTCGAGTAGCTGCGCCACAGCCGCGGTGTCGCCCTCAAAGCTCCTCAGCTCTCGATCACCCAATCCCCTTTTGCAACTAAGGGGATTCCAAATCTTTGGAAATTGAGTCCCCCTTGAGTAGATAGAATTTGGCTTTGGGTATATTTATAAGAAGATCCCCATATACCCCATATATTATATCCTATATAACCCAATATAGTAGTTTCCATTTTCTTTTCCATGATCCACATATAACCCCAATATAACCCTAATATACCCCATATTCTATCTACTTAAGGGGGAAAATACCCGAGCCAAGGCCATGATCGTTTTGTCATTCCTCCTGCATAAGCCTCTGAACCTCAATACGGTTTAGGGCTTATGGGTACAAGTGCAAAGCAAGACTTCCTGGCTTTTTGGGTGTACACTGTTTCTGCAGGGAGGAACACGAATTCAACTAAGAGCGCTAACTTGAGCCCCCTGGACGAGTGATACCCCTACGTCCTGAAACCCAAACTCCCTGAAGCCGAAGTCTTCTACTACACCCTCTCTACCCACAAAACGCCAAACTCCAGCAGCCCCAACCCCAACCCCACTTCGCGAAAGCCCAAACCTAATCCTTAAACACCCCAAACCCCAAATGCCACCCTAAATCCTGAAACCTAAACCCTGAACCTTATAAACCCTAAGCCCTGAACCTTATAACCCCTAAACCCTGAAGCCCAGACATGACCCGTTTTTCACCCCAAGGCTGAAGTGACGCTGAAAGACTTTTGGACGAGCTCGGGGCATGGTCGAAGCTGAGAGGCTGCAGCGTGAAGCACCTGGTGCTTAATCTAGGGTTGAAGCCGTGGTGGGGGATTAGGAATTTAGGCGTTTAGAGCATTTTTGGGGTTTAAGGATTTAGGCTTTAGGACTTAGACTTTAAGGGTTGTAGGGTTGATAGGTTTTGGGGTTTTGGATAATACTAGGGATAGATAGGGATATCTAGTATTTGAACAGAAAATGGAAATTGTTTAGGGTTCAGGGTGTATGCAGTAGGGTTGATAGGTTTTGTGGGGTTGGTCATGGGGTACATTTGATAGTTAAGCCAGCTATTTATACACAATTTATAGAGGCCATGATTTATGTTTAGTTTGTGGGTCTCTTGGGAGACATGCAATGTACTGCCCAAGAGGCCTGGTCCAATTCTGCCAGGCTTGGAATGTTCAAGCCATCCTGCTCTCCAGGAAATTTGCCATCGGCGTCCACCTAGGTGAGGGTTTGGGTTTTGGGGTGAAGGGTTGGTTAGGGATTGAGGGTTGGGGCGTAGGGTTACTAGATAAGGAATTGGGAGTTTAAGGTTCCGTCGCTTGAGGTTCCGGACCTTCTCTAATGCGGTCAGGCTTTTTCCATGGAGTGCTCTCTTGTTGGCGGGCGTTTTTGTTGGCAAGGACCTCTCGAAATCTCACGGAGGTAAACAACAATTGCAGGGGAGGCCTTGGTAAACCATGAGAGGCATGTCTTCAGGTACAAATCAGGTAATGTATACCTTCCTTAACCTCTACTCTCCGGTGTGTCTTCGGTGCTTGAGGTTCTCCGGATTAAGGACTTTCTTTGCCTGAGATTTGCGGGATGTGGGATTTTCAGCTTCATATTCTCTTCAGACGAAAGGTCCTTTTCCAGTCCTTCACTGTATTTACATAAGGCATGTCATAACGTGTTACACCAGTATGTGACTTCCGACTGGATGGGGCTTGGAAAATGTGCAGCTGGGAGCTCATTTTCGGGCTTAGGGCTGCTGGAAACCTCGTGGCCAACAAGCCGGGAAGAGCCTTATCCAGAGGCTGTCTCACAGGATTTGCGCTCCTACACGAACATCGGCCCTTTTGATCAACATCTGATCTTACATAGGGTTAGTCCTCAGGAAGACAAAGCCATAACGAAACATCAGGTGAGTCTATATACTCTACAGAAACCCCCAAAAACCTTGAACCCTGAACCCTCCCAGTTTTGCCTCTGTTGCCTCCGCATCTGCGTGATCCACTTCCGGCACTACCTCTGCATCCGGCTCTGGAGCAATCCTCAATCTAGTAACTATATGGGAACACTTTGGGCTCTAAGTCTATACTGTATACCTACATGGACCCTTTGGGGTAATAGCTCCTATAGGGGCTTAGCTTGAAGAATGAACGGCACAACGTTGCTTTGTTGAAATGATGAAGATCTCATAGCAGGCTTTAAGCAAGCCCGATGGCTGCTTACAGCACGAATTGAGCATGACTTGTTGGGTTTAGGGTTGAGGGTTTAGGGCTTGGGGGGTTCCGGGGTTTAGGGTCTAGGCAAGCTTCGAAGGTAGGCTGGGAAAGGCATTGATCCTGAATCTATAGACCTTGTCTCAATACCCGATTCAATGCCCTTATCAAAGTACACATACACATAGGTGTGTATTCATGTACAACTATATTTGTAGAGCATATAGAGCTTCGGAATAGTTTCGTATCATCGTCTATTGCACATCCTGGCTTCCTTCTGCAGCGTAACCGTGTTCCGGAAGCCCCTATAGAAGTCAATGGTCAGAATCAGAACCCAGGCTGCTTCTTCAATGCATGAGAAGTAGAAACAGTGTCCTTAGAAGTTATGTAGTTTGAAAACCACCCAACCCCCAGGCCCGAAGCAAGTGTAGATTCCAAGGGCCCAGAAACTGTACAGACCACCCAAAAAAGGACCCGTAGAAGGAAATGTTGAAGGGATCTGGGGTTTCTCTCGGCCCCTGGCAATCTGGAGGTTTGCCTATACATCAGGGGTCCCTTTTTTGATTCTAAGGTACTTCAGGGCGTATATTGAGGTTTCCCTATCTCCCTTTTTTGGGACACTACCATCCATGTGATTGCTAGCTCCTCAGGGAAGGCGGCGCTGTGACTGCAAGCGGAGGCGGAGGTGGCGGGGCATCCGCGGGGTCGGCGAAGGGGTCCCAAGCATCAGCCATGGCTCTCTTGGGGTAGAGCTTAGGGTTTGTTGGATTCAGAAGGGTTAAAGGCTCGGAGTTTTTGGGCTTAGGGTTTAAGGATTTCAGGAGGTTCTGCTGCGGTTCTCTTCTTGAGAAGTGGTCTGGGCAAGCGTGTGAAACTCTATATATGCAAGTAGTGCAAGGTGATTGCACGCAGCAAGGTTTTCTTCTTGTAAAATTTTGAAATGCCATGACTATCAGCAACCGGATGGAGGACATCTTATAAGCTTGTTTGGTATTTGAACTGTAGCATGTATATTCATGGTAAACGCTACGCATGTGGGCTTCATGAGTGTTGTGGAGTAGTAGAAGAATGATAACATGCGCAAGGCTCCCGAATTGATTGAGTTGCTGCTTTTTGTTTGTTGTTGTCTTTCCGTGTCACAACCCCAGAAAGCCCCACGCCAGAGCGCGCTTCCATCTCAAATGTGAGACCAATAAGACGTTGACCCTCGAAGCCGTTTTTTTCTAGCGTTGGCCTTACATGCGGACCTCTTGACAGGTGGATTACAGCATGTGGAATTCTTGAAAAGCTGCGAATACGCTTTCGGAGTTCTTGAAGTGCAGCGAATACTGCGAATTATAGCATCTGCCGCTGTTGAAAAACTAGTTCTATTGTATTTTGCAGCCTTTGCAGTGGCCCAAGGAAGCAACCAAAAACAAAACACAATCAAACAAACACAACACAAGTTCCTAAACAAAAATAACCCCCGTCCCCCTCCGCGCAATCCTGGGTCGCGCGATTCGGATGGGGGCTCAGGGTCCAGCGCTCCCGCCATAGCCCCCCCCTATTTGTTGCAAGTTGGTAGTGCACTGAACAACACTTCCACACAAAGATACATGCTAGGACCACTGAGCAGTGAAAGTACAAGCCCTATAGCAAAAAAGTTGTCCCGGAAATATACCTAACAATGCGCTACTTGTGCGAATGGTTCTTGTAGTTTTTGGAGGGCCTGGGGAGGGTTTCACTCCATAGTTGCTTCGCACCCGGGGCGGCCACACCATTGAAGGTGGGCAAGTTGTCAAGGAACAGGATGTCATCCTCCCAACGCTTTAAACTTGAGGTCGAGTGTGTTAAAATGGGCTTAGTGTTTTGGGTGTAGGAGCAGGGCTAGGGCTCAGGATTTATGATTCAGGGGCTACATCAATTTCAATGGTGGAGCATCAGATGGAAATTGACATGGAAGATAAATCAAATGAAAACTCGGTTGGAGTACTCAGGGGTAGCAATGTAATTAGGGACCTAGACAATTAGACGATGGTGCTGGTTGCTTTAATGCATCAGATTGTCAGCAGTATTTGGGAAGAATGGTCGTTCTTTTCGCCATGCAATCCAAGAAGATAGCACCGTAGCACTGATATCCTGCAATCGGAGCCCCTATACAAACCTTAAACCCTAAACCGGAATCCTCAGAAACTTCCGGGGCCCCACGGTATGACTATGGGGGCTATGGGGCCCATTGGCCTGCTTGAGGGCGGCATCCTCGACCCTTGCTTGAGAAGTGTCCAGAGGCAGTCTGGCTTGAGATCATCTCTTGGGTCCATGCGTACTTAAACCCTATTTATAACGGTGGTTACAGGCCGATGCATGAGGCTTAAAATTGGGTTCTGACTCCCAGGCACCTCCAGGTCTGATTCACCCCACGCTACATAGGAGGGCCACCCAAGACAGCAGTGATAACTATGATTTTTTGATGCATGGACTTCACCTAAACCCTTAAACCTGAAGCCTAAAGCACTGCAACCTTAAACCCGACAGCCTCAAACCCAAATCCTAAACCTGCACGTCGCGCATTGCCCCTCCTCAGTCTCTAGTGCAGTGGATGAACCTGCCAGCACCTGGTCAGGCACGGCGAGATTGGAAGCGTAGGGCGACCGTGGATGTAGGAAATTGAGGCCGCTTACGTTCCTTATGCCATATAATAGGGCTGAAAGTAGTTTGGAGGCCAATGGTGGAGCATGATTTCCTGCAGACATGGTGATGCCAAAGACTCGGTAGGGCTTTTGGTTTGCACGTGAACATATGTCACCAACACTGTAACCAATGCGCATATCAGTCGCAGCTGAAGTCCTTCTCAGCTGTCTGTGAAGCCTTAACAGCACTGTGTCAAGTACGCTGCCTTCTTGCCTGTCACAGAAAGTTTTGGATAAGCCCTCTATACAATCCTACAAGCATGCCTGCAAATCTGTATAGGCCTATAGGCCTTACAAACCCCAGCCCAAAACTCCTAGATGCTAAATCACACGTGTGCTGTCTAGGTGCCGCTGCAGATGCTCGACTGAGGCTCTTCTTGTCGGACTCGTACTGTCCGAACCTCGGTGAGGCACCGAAGCATCCTAGTCCCTAAAAAACACCCAAAATCCCAAAAGTCACTCCGAGCCATCCCCCATTCCCCACCTAACACAAAGAAAAGGCCCCTGCTTCTGTGAAGATTGCTGGCCCCAGTTTGACAACAGCCTTCCTGGGTCCCTGCTAGTTCAGGACGAGCAATATGCAGGGGCCTAAAAATACCAAAGCCAATTTTGAGGTCTAATTGAGGTGCCTTATACTAGAATGCAAGGGGTCTAGCACAATAAAAATTATCTACCGTAAGTGCCCAAGTCCAACAACCTACTCGAAACAACTTAGAGCCGTGCCAACGCAGGACACCCTGTAAGAATCCTGGTTGGTCAGCAGACGCCTCCGTGGCTCAGAAGTCAGGGTCCGGGTGGCAAGGTTCTGCTCACAAGGGATGTGAATTTACCCAACAAGCATGCTTTTCGTAAGTCTTGCTGGTTCTTCGGTGGCCTTCTGCTTCCTGTGGCTTGGAGATCGCAGGTCTACTGTAGAGCAGTGCTTACGTAATGTTTGCTGTGTCAAAAACCCGGCAACCTACAGCTTGGGTCCTAAGTCTGGAAGCCCGGTAATATACAATGTTCCTGCCGTGCGCATCCGGAATCAGACTGAGTGTTGAGCGACATTCCTCCCAAGATTCCTGATATGATCCCGGGCCAGAGCACACAATCCAGATAACAAATATGACCTTTGACCCTGCATATTTCCAGCGGTCTCCCCATACGCCCTTATGTACCCAGGGAGCCCTAGACGGTATAACGCGGCCAAAAGAAAGTCGCCGACCTTGGGACAACCCAGCCTACAATCACAATCCGTCAAATGCATCCCATAAAAAAAACTCACCCCCGTGAAGACGCACATAGGCATAATTTTGAGGAATTCCACGTCATCTGGCAATTATTCCGAAAGCGTGGAAGAGTGCGAGTT